GCTGTCATTTTCAGTCATGTTTGTGTCCACCTGATCAATGTAAGACCAATATTCACTCTCCTTGTAGCTCTGTTTTGGTCTCCACCAACTCCTGATATCTGGCTCTTTAGCTGCTAAATGCTCCACTATGTTCACCAGCTAGTTGTGAACTTTGTTTGTCTGCTGTTGGGTGCCGGAAACCAAAACAACGAGCTGAAAGACACTAAAACGCTCAGTAGAACTGAGAGGAACTGCAGAGTCCGACAAATAACGAATGAATACGAGTCAAATGTTTTAATTATAAGAGGAAGATTATGTTAAAAACGCTTTAAAGTATCCTGTCACAAATAACCGACCACTGATGTCATCTTCTCATTAGGTGTGGCGGTATCGTGGTTCAGAACCCAGGACGGGACACCTACTGCGTGATCGTCGGCGTGGAGAACATACGCGTGAAGAACCTGATTTCCTCTGACCAGCATGACGTGGTGTGGGCCGCCTGGCTGCTGGAGTGCCTGAGCCAGAAAGAGGTGGTCCCGTGGCAACCGCGTCACATGATCCACATGACGCCCTCCACCAGAGAGCACTTTGCCAAAGAGTACGACGGCTACGGCGACAGCTACTTTGTGGACACCGACGAGCAGCAGCTGCGGGAGGTGTTCGGCCGGATCGGCAGCTCGGATGCGTCCGCGGCCGTGAACGTCTGCCAGGTGGAGCAGCGTTACGGCTGGGAGGACCTTCCCACCAGCTTGTTCAGACCCTTCACGGTTTACATGGACAGCTACGCCGAGATAGGAGACCCAAAAACCACCATACCTGCCACCTGTTTGGACATCAGGGCGCTGGAGTTTCGCTACCATGGAGGGACGGTGGTGCAGAAGTTAGAGGAGGGGGTCTCTCATGTCGTTATCGCAGAAGAAACGAGACTCCTGGATCTGAGGACTCTGAGGCGCCGCTTTAGGAAGAAGTTTAAGATCGTAAGAGACTCGTGGGTGACGGATTCAATCAAAGAAGGGTATCTGATGAATGACGCTGACTACTTAGTTTGAGGAGTGATGTGTACAGTAGTTGAGTTGACACTGGAGAAGAAAACTCTCTTTTAGCTTGCATTTTAATTAATTCTTAATAAAATTGGGAATAAACTATTTAATAAAAGTAAAAAAATGAAGATCCCAGACAGTCAAAATAAGCATTACGGGTCGAGGAAAGCAATGTGATTTAAATTTAGGGATGTTACGTCTCAAGGGTTTCATGCAAAACCTTATGAGTTTTATTTTTATCTTCTTAATGAGGGATTAAGGCTGCTTGTTATTTTGTATATTAGTTTTAAATTGATAGGCTGCTGTGAAACTCAGGAAGACAATGATTGGTTTTTTAGTTTTGAAAGTGAGAATTGCATTATGAAGTATTCAAATGTGGAAGCTAATTTATCTCTTCTCACATTTTTAGCTGTGCTGTTATCAATATATTTTACGGAAAGGAAAAGAAGGTTTCGACTTGACCAAAACTGAAGGGTTTAATCTTAAAAACTGCTAGAATTTTTGGGGGAATATGAGGCTTTTTTTGATACAAAAAATGTGGATTATTGTGCTAAGCAGTTAGCCCTCCTCTGTGCCATTGTGCTTTTTATGTCTGTTTACCTACACATTAAATACAACTCTTAATAAATATAATATAACTGCTTTAAAAATTGGTAATTAACTGAAATGGGGCGTCTGCGTGAAGGGATGGCCTTTGCCTCGGCTCTTCAGCGTGCAGTCAGCTGGCAGAGAGAGACTGAGGGACACCACGGGGGTACGTTAAAACCGGTTCAGCTCAAGGCCCTCCAACAAAGATGTCTTCATGTTTTCCTGTCTTCAAAAATGTCACCAATGTGCCTAGGGATTTATTGATATGTTATAACCTTCACTACCGTCGCCTCTGGGGTGCGGGTAGCTGCCTGTGGTGTCCTGGGCATTGTTGTGCGTAAATGCCGCATGAATACATTGTCAAAGTGAAAGTGATGAGGCACCTGTTCCTAATCATATACTGGGAATAATGGCTCTTATTGACATGTTGTAGTGTTCCCTGTAGGGTTCGGATTTTCACGCCACTGTTCAAAGTCATTGAAGTTTTAGCTCGGCAGTTAGCCGCTGTTTTAGCTAAGGCAAGAGATCTCTCGGAATCAACACAAAAGCATGAAAATGATTTTAATTATTACTAAAATAAAACATTACAGGGCCTCAGTAAGCATTCTGTAACCCCTCGCCCACTCTGAACTATTTCCAGGTGATGCAGAGTGAGTGTTTGACTGACAGGCTTTAATTAGAGGTACTCAACTAGTGCTTATTCCAGTGTGGCTTTGTGCATGTGATGCATTTTATCCCTGCAGCACGTCCGTTGTTCATGAAAAGGTCCAACTGCCTGTACTCTGAAAGGACGCGCAGGAACAGATTATCAGTGCTAAAGGATCCGAGCAGCCGCTGAAAGCTAGCTTTGCAGTAATACTGTGTCCTAATGGGATAAATGCTCTAATTAGGCCTGGCGGTGGCTGTTGGAGAGATGGAACCGGCGAGCGCGCTGGACAAGAGCAAGAAACAAATGGTTTGGAAACGACCCCTAGACAAGCAGCGGCTGCATGCACTCAGCTGAAATAAATCAGCTCCTGTAGAGACCAAACAGAGGCTCGTGGCTGCAGGGGAGGTTTGTCTGCAGCAATTAGCGCCGGCCCACCCTCAAATGAAGGGAATTCAATCAACAACAACAAAGAATTGAGCTCCTTTTTTGTGCCTTGTAAATATGTGTTCATAAAGTTCATAAATATTTATATGTATTTGACCACAGTGGTCGATAAAAGTCTGTTTTCTCCATCACATCTTCACCCAACTGTGAATTAAAGTGTCTAGCACGTTTTCAAAAAGGCTCCCATTTGCTTCAAGGCAAAACATATTTAAGAGAGAAATAGATTGTTTTTTTCCCAGCCCTCTTTTCCACCGCGGAGGACTGGAGCCACTGGTGATAACTGGCTGCGCGGGCAGGTGCAGATTGAACAAATAAGATGCAGCATTAGTAAGATTTCGAGGTGTTTGTTGTGTTACCTTCAGACAGAGCCAAGCTAACTGTCTTAAGCTCGAGAGCGGTATCAATCATCTCATCTATTTCTGGGGAATAAAACAAATAAGTTTCCCCAAAATGGCAAAGTATTCCCTTTAAAACGAAACAACCCCTCGTCGTCGGTTGGAGGCAGTTGAACTAAACAGGCCTGAAGAGGTCAAATCGTCCTGTAATTCAGGAAAATAGTAAAAATAAATAAATAAGAAAAAACGAGAGAGTATAAATGCAGAAAGTTTTATCTGTTTTATCCCTCAGACTCATCTTGGGTCCCGACCCCTATGTTGGGAACCAGTGTTTTAAAGCTGCTGTGAAGTAGATTATTATTTGCCCTCATTAGAAAAAGAATACAGCTTAAAGTTAAGAAAACACATTTAATTAAAGGTCAGTACTTTTCTCTTTGTATGACATTAGTGCAGGATTTAAACATCATGCTGTAACGTGTCGGACTCTTAAACCTTGTCCTTCCTCCTTCCAGGCAGCCGCTGATGTTCAACCATTTCATTTACTGTTCTGAGATTTACTTGCAGAGACTTGCTTTGACTGAGGTAATCCATCTCAATAAACATCACGTCTGCTTTAATTGTTGTCAAACTCGTCTCGGAGTGGTAATGGAGTTGGAAGCGCTCATTGATTTAACCATCTGCACTGCATTTACCGGGCAACAATAGCACAACTTAATATAAAAACAGGTTGTTCGCTGTGATGGATTACCTATCTGCAGTGTAAAGTCTCAGCGGGTTGGGTTTTCACAATGTTTACAGACTCCAGTGAGAACAAGTGGTCGTCAGGAGAAACACTGTGATGGCAGAAAGAGGACAGCAACCTGTGCTTTTAAAGACTCGACACTGGATTTTAAATGGGCTTAAACGTGCAAAAGCATCGGTATTGTCCTTTAAAGTGGAGACAGGCTCCTTTCTTGAGAAGAGCATCCTGCCTGAGGCTGAAACCAGGTGAGTACCAACCTGTCTGACTGAGCCAGGGTAAAGCCAGCTGCAATAAAGACTGTAAGAAGTCTGCTAGTGGATATTTTCAAAATAAAACACCTATAACAAACTCCCCTCATCCCAGTCAGCACGTTTTATTGTCCAGTATCTTCTGAACAGCTGCGTGCTTTTACTTTTAGTGGTTCTAGTTGTTCTTTACCTTTTGTTCTGTCGACCTGAGTGGCTGATATTGTGTGTTTATTTAGGAGACTGGAATCAGTGTGTTTAATTTTGAAGTCAGAGTGAGGAGATGTCTGGTGATATTTCAGCGGACTCGACGCACCTTCGTACCGAGGGATGCGGTGACTGCGGTGCGCGCGCATAACGTCAGAGATGGAGATGTTTTGTCAAGGTAGCGAGATTAGATAACACAGTACCGGAAGTTGTGCGATTCGACCTTCAAAATAAAACAAAATATGTATCTCATAACAGGCAGTTTGTGCAAATTTAAAATTTTTATTGTGCTTCAGATGTTGTAAACATAATTATTTCCCCCTGCTTTACTTTACTGAGCCGAACAGTGCACATCTGTAAAATCTGTCTAACATTTAAAAAAAAGTGAGAATGACAATAGCACCTGAAGGAGCCAATTATTTGTTATGTTTTTAAATAAACGCTTAAATGTATTTTAAACAGCTAACATAAGCTGGATCCTCATAAAGCTTAGACCAGTGATTGCTTATCTAGGGGTCAGGACATATGAAAAGGAAACAAATCTGACCCGCCGAGATAAAACTTTTTACCCTGTAAAATAATAATAGTTTCACTTTAAACTGAAACAATCTACAGTGCTCATAAACTGTGATAAAAGGTCACAAGTAGCTGCTTCAGATTAAAAGCTAAAGAATTGGGAATGTGTAAATAATCTCTGGCACGAAGCAACGCAAGCGACCTTTATTTTGAATGTTACAACCGGAAGCGCTCGCCGGTCATCGCCGCTGACTTGACGCGAGCTCCCTTCAAACACACACACCGTCTCTTGGCGAACATGGCGGCAACTTGACAACGGCAGCGAGATGAAGACGGCGAGGGCTTGAAAAATAAAAAAAAGAGGTCTGTTACAGGCTGTAGGCCCAAACGCCGACACAAAGGCAGACAGCTTCGCCATGTTGGAAGAGGATAGCGCCCTTGTCCCTGCACGACCGAGGCCGGGGGAAACGTAAACGCGTCGGTGAGTGTTTCTAAAAACGGGAGTCGAGGCTACGCAGAGGAGCGGAGCGGCGCGGCGCGGAGCTCAGGGCGGACGGGGAGGACAGCGGCTTCACCGGTCAGCCATGGAGGATGCGGCCCGTGGTCGCCAGCGTCTGATTTGCCGTCCGGCCCACGCTCATTTTAATGGGAATTACCGCTGAACGCAAAGGCAGAGCCGGGACAACCCACCACCTGACGACTTGAGGGGAGGAAAACGCGAAGCGGACCCCCAACGTCAATGACTGTTGCGGCAGAGGAGCCCCCACGGTGGAGTCGGCCGGTTCCCAAAATATGACCAGGGGTGCTGGGACGTGTTGGCAGCAAGAAGATGACGACGGCTTCCAAATCTGGCTAGAGCCCCCCCGCGACAACCAAAAGCCATTCACCGACTCAGAGAGGGCGCAGAGATGGCGACTGTCCTTGGCATCCCTCTTGTTCTTAACCATCCTCCTCTCTGATCACCTGTGGTTCTGCGCCGAGGCCAAACTGGCCCGGACCCGGGTCAAGTTCGCATCCTCCCAACTCCTCTCCCCCCAGACCCACTCAGCACACAGCAGCCTCAGAGGAAACCCAGATGCTATTTTTATAGGAAACTCTACCAAACATTTGTGGCGGCTTGAAACTTGCCACCAGGATAGTTTATCTAAAGACTGCTTCGCTTTCGCAGATGCCGACCATTTGTGCGGGGGCCTTTCCGACCAAGAGGGGACGCGGGCTGTAAATATGAGCGATTTGTACCTCTCCTTTTGTAACTCCTACTCTCTGCTGGATTTGTTTTACGGGTCGACGAGTCCGGACAATTTGAACTGCAGCCTCGACGTGCTCGGCGACGGGGACACCACCAGATGCAGTCTGTGCGTCCAGGCGTACCAGCGCTACGACCAGCACGCCCAGGAGAAATACGAGGACTTTGAGCTCCTGACTCAGAAATACGAGCCGGGGGCATATTCAGTGAGGACGTGCATGGAGCAGTGCAAGGTAGGATGGGAAAGGTTGGGGTGTGTGTGTGTGTGTGTGTGTGTGTGTGTGTGTGTGTGTGTGTGTGTGGGGGGGTGTTTTGAGGAGGGGAGGAGGGTGGTGTAGTGGTTGATGTGGTGGCCATCTGTTGATTTGGGCCCGGATAGATGCCAGTTTTGGTCCTCCTCCTCCTCCTCCTCCTCCTCCTGTCGCCATGGAGACGGATGACAGATTCAAGGAGACTCCCGGCTCCGGGCCTCATGTTCATTCATCTCCTCATTGTGTTTTAGGCCCCATGCTAATGTGCAGATGGAGGCCCTGCTAGTGGAGGGTTTTTTTCTTCCAGCCAGCTCTCTCTCTCTCTCTCTCTCTCTCTCCTCCCCCCTCCCACCCCCCCCACGCTCTGTTCTTTGACATTGAAGACCACCCCGGCGCCTCCTCAGCTCATAATCCACCCAATCAGCCATCGATAACCTAGATAGGGTTATTAGACCGGCCCTAGCTTTTATAGCCAGGCGTTTATAACAATTTAATGAGCAGGAAGGAGGCTGCCGGGCATATGCAAACAACTCTGGGAGCCTGTGTGTCCTGTGTGTGTTGTCGCAGTCCGCCAGGTGTTCATCATGGCCGCCCACTCCATATCGAGAGCGTTTCATTAAAGTCAAGAGGTAGTTTCCCTGCCTAATGTGGCGGAAGGTTTTTTTTTTCCTCCCCCACCTCTCCCCCTCTCCCTCTCTCTTTTCGACTTGTGTTTGCGTTACCAGGCCCGCACAGTACAGGCCTCGTCTCGGCAAGGCCCCGAGCTCGCTGTTTTAATTGCCATGCACTGTTGACCAGCTTTAAAGTGAGAGGGGGTGTCCGGGAAAACGCGGAGGGAGCCCGGTGAGAGCCGCCGCTTCAGCACCGCGGACAGCTGCACGGCGGCGCGGAGCTGTCCGCGGTGCTGAATGACGCTCCGCCGGCTCCATTCACAGAAGCCCTGGCCAATCCCAGATGGCCTCCATTCAGCCAACCAGTGGCAGAGACACAAGCATGATAGGCGTGAAGAACGCCAATCTAATAAGGCCATCTGCCTGCTTATACAAACCCAATGCATTTTGGATAGACCCTGCATGAGAGCTGGGCCTAGTTTGCAAGGCTAGCTTAAATTTACCACAAACTGAATCCCCCCCTTTTTTTTGTGTTCATCAAACAGTGATTCATTCAGTTTCTTTTATATTGTCTTTGCTGTTGGATGTCTTAATCCCCCGGTAGAGACAACACAGGCTTTTTAGGCGAGATAAATCCAGCATTCATATGGTTGTAGACCTCACATTCTTACTTATGTAAAACACACACACACACACACACACACACACACACACACACTGTGTACACAGAGACGGCTGCACTTTAATTTATCTCACGCTCCAACATGAAATCGGGTTTTACAGTCTTATATCTGATGATTTTGATATCACAGTGTAAAGCCTCGCTGCACAGCCACTCTGAGGGACCTATATGACAGGTTTTTATGATAAGATTTGACTGATTCTGCTGAATCCGTCCGATTCTTATCGATTCCTGATCAATTTACTGTGTAGGACAAAAAAAGCACGCCTCCTCAGATATCAGGTTTTCAGGTTTGAACTGTTTTTATTATCTGAACACAGTGTAGATATAATAGTTATTGTAGTAGTTTATGTTTCATTGTGAAATGAGGCCACACTTTTCTTCTTCTTCTCCTCCATGGCTCCTTCTTGTTGCAAGTTTCCAGCAGCGTAGACGCACAAGTTTTGACGTCATTGTTTTGCAATGGGTAGCTGTCAGAAAAACATTGATTACAGGCACTGATAAGCTGCGAGACATACGATTCGGTTCATTCATTCCCTAGTTATAGCTGGTTGTTTGACATTATTCCTCTGTTCTGGATAGAGCTGAAACCATTAATCAGTTAATCGATCAGTTGACCAACAAAGAAACAAACAGCAGCGATTTTTGATAATCGATTAAACATTTCAGTCAATTTTCAAGCAAATAATAATAGAAATTCTCTATTTTTCGCTGCTGTCATATATCATTGGAAACTGAACATCTTTGGATTTCTTGTGGAGACTCACAATACAACGAGCCAGTTTAATCATGATATGAATATGTGAAGATTCAAATCAGTGAGATGAAAAATTAATCGTAATATCAATCGTGGTATCAAGGCGCAAAGGCTTCTGTTTCCCTTTTACAAAGAAGAGGAAATATGCATCGTTTTACACAGTTTATATCCTCCCTCAGAAGTAAAAAAGGATTCATCTTTTGTAGATTTTTAAATGTGTATCGAGTTGTGATTTGAGTATATTTTGTCACATCCCTGCAGAAGACTTCAGCTTGGGCTCTGGCAACCTGTACGGACACTTTTTCACAATTTCTTGACATTTTATAGAATAAATATTCTACCCTAGTTCTGCTATTTCTCCTGAATCGTCAACGCTGGTGGCTTTATATCCCGTGTCCGATGGCTCAAAACACTTGCATACCAAGGCTCTTACTCATATTGAATCGGTGAAGCTTGACCTAAGCCACTTCAGAGTCTTATTTCAAGGTCGGTCAGTTGCCAGCTATACAATCCTGCTACACAGGACAAATATAGGCAGTGGCTGCTACTGAATGCCGCTTTTGTTTTAAAATAAATAGCCAAGCCGATGCCTGGTCTTGAGGATCCCATTGATGTTAACTGAAGATGCCTCGACACTCAAGCCTCCGTGTGTTTCTATTCCTCTGCTGAACCGAAGCCCCGCACACCATTTCATGTTTTGTCCCCTGCCAGTCTAAGGCCAGTTGTTACGCCCGTCCTCCCGGCTCACCTCTTGACACTAGGAGCGAAAACAGTCATTTAGTCAAGCTGCTAATTTCTTTAACAATGACCCCTCTCTTTCACCTTCATGATTATAGGTTTGCGACAGCCTGTATATGTGGTCGGCAGCGTTACGGAAAGAGCAGTGTGACTCAAATGATAATGTGGAGCTCTTGTTGAGTTAATGGCTACCTGCCTTGGGGAAGCCAGGCAGTGTAAGTTGTGTGCCGGCTCAGACAAATGTATATGGAATCTATGTAAATATGGCAAGATTATAGCATACGCTGTGTGTGAAAACATTAACCAAATAGCTCCCTGCTTTATTGTGTTATTTAAACATGCAGTGGAACAGTGGAGGCGGGTAGAGTGAGCGTTTGGTTATCCACAGCCAGAGGAAGATCTCTGACATTTCAAGTGAGGATATTTGACATGGAGAGTAGCGTTTGTTGTGCAGCAGTGGCTTCTGTGGTCCGCAGGTGGTGCTTTGATTCCTCTAGCCTGAGGTGAAACATCACACAGTGGACACGGCCGGTGTGCTGTTCCTCACAATGGGATTCTCCATCATCTGACTCTGTGAAAACCCACCATTCATCTTGACAGCGGGGCCAGGCTCGAAACATTTAAACCTGGGCCGACGCACTAATGCTGACTTGAAAGCAGCATTTTTTCCCCCCCACATCCAGAGTGTGAACTGAAATGTCAGACTCACTAGTAGTTTCACAGGAAACAATGAAGACAAAACAGACCTGGCTTCTCAAAAAGCATGTCTGCAACACAAAAACTGTTAGCCAACAAAAGCCTGGGCTCTCCACGCTTTTATTTGATGTAGGCTTATGTCAAAAGGCTGCTGTATAACAACAGGATCATCACCAGTTCACATGGAGCATATTTGAGCACACAGATGTATAATTTTAGTGCAGGTGGACTACAGGTATTTTTTTTTTAGCATCAAAACAACCTTGCTTTGAAGGACCAGTATGTAGGATTTAGTAGAAACTCCCTTGTCTCTCCCTTCTCTTTCAAGCACCAGGAGAAACTATGGTTAACGCCTCTTACTAGAGACACACACACAGCGGAAAAAAGCTAGTGGACGGGGTGCAGACATTCACTGAAGTGAATTAGAATCGCATAACTGGAATCGCTTACCCCACCATTAAAGCCTAAAACATGGGGTTTTGCTATTGTTAGGGCTGCAACTCACAATCATTTCAATACTGATAAATCTGCCCATTATCTTTTCTATAAATTATTAATAATTTGTTTTAAAATGCCGGCAAATATTGAAAAATGACCATCACCATTGCCAGGCCCAGCCAACAGTCTAAAATCCGAACATATTCATCATAAAAGATGAGGAATACCAGCAAATATTCACATTAAAGAAGCTGGAACCAGTGAAATGATTCTCATTTCTACCCTGACAGGACACTGGACTGACTATAAAATGTCATAAAATTGTGAAAAATGCTCAGCACAATCTCCCAAACACCGAAAGTGATGTCAAGCACTCCACGTTGTATACGGGCCTCAAGGTATAATCTAATTTTAAAGCCTTTATTCTATCACTTTATCGTGTGCTTATATGTAAATAAATGAATCAAGACTAATACATAGACAATGGACAGAGAGTTTGAGAGACTGGGGGATCTATAGTAGCTCATTTTTGCCCTAGGGCCCCATTAGAAGGTTAATCCGGCCCTGGGGGGGTAATAACACTGAACCTGTTGTTTGTCGGGGTTTCCCATCGAGGGCTCTTGATTTTGGATTGGTCCAAGTAGAAAACGGCCCAGTTCCCACCTGACGTGATCACAGTATGAGACAGGAATATGTGCTATGTCATTTTTCTCCAAAAGGCTGAAAATCATTTGTCAGGTATAATGAATCGGCTGCACAGGTGTCTGCGCCCCGGTAATTTCACTCATTTATGAGTTTGAGAGACGGAAATCTCATCACCTGCAAAGTAATCAAAGAATTTCTAGAACTGATAGTGGAATCTGATTCTACTAACACTTCTATTATCTCTTCTACCTCTTTGACCCTCTGCGACCCCTACTCCTACAGCCACTACTGCTTTTCACTGCCACTACTATGGTGTAAAATCATTTCAAAACACAATCACTGACAAGTCTGTGCACAAATCCGTCTCCTCCCCCACCCTCCAGGTCCAATTGAATGTCTAATCTTAGCCGGTGTT